CAGAATGAAGGAAAACTATTGAGTTGATAAGGGCTACAGTTTCAAGCTGAAATGATGGACAGAAAGTAGAGCACTGTCACTGATAGGTTTGGAGAAGGTAAGATGGAAGGTGACTGGAAAGTGGGAGGTGATGAAAATCCCCCATGGAATTTTCTTATAAGTGGTATTTGGAATGTATTTCATGGCTAGGGCTATAGCCTTCAGAGGTATTTGTTTTGAGATAATAGTTAAAACCAAGGGCTAAATTTACTTTGTTGAGTAAAGGAACGTAACAAGATTAGAAGATCAGAAGGCAAAGGATAAGCTTGAGAGACAGCTTCTGTTAAATAAGGAAAGGAGAAAAATGAATCATGGAAAGATATGGCATAAGGACCATTCGGGTGAGAGGGGAACCAGGAAGATTCAATGCTAAAGAAGCCAATACAACAGAGAATTTGAATGTGGATACCAAAGAATGCCAGAAGCCACAGATTCATTAAAGATTAAGAGGACTGAGAAAAGACTGATGGCTTTGGAAGTGATTTTTCGAGAGAAGGAAGGATCTTTGGGAGGCCCTATTTAGTAGTTAGAGTGGTTACTGAGGGTCTGGAAGCAGTGAGAATGGCCACTGGTTCTAGTCGTTGAATAGTGAAAGGGAGGAAGAAATGAAAATTCCTAAAGTGGTTGCTTTAGGAATAGAGACTTCTAGAATAGGAAATATCTGTAGATGTTGAAGGCATACGAAAAGGTGTGAGGTGGGAGAGAACTAACCAGAGAGGCAGGAGAGTGTGGGGAGGGAAGGAAACTTGATCCTCTCAGAGGTCCTCTTCTGGGCCAGACAAGGTGCTGGGTGTTTTTATTATTAATCTTCATAATATCTTGCAAAGTAGCCATCAAGAGTCCCATTTTACATATAGAGAATTTAGGCCAAGGTATGTTATGACTTGTTTTAAGTGAGTGGAGGAGTCCAGGTCTGCTTTAGCCTATGCTCTTTCCCTTGTACGCCTTAGAAGTTAGGTATGAATGGGATCCAGAGCACAATGTATTATCCCACTTGTGTCAAACTGTATATATGTAGGTATGTGCTATGGTCTGAATGTTTGTCCCCTCCAAAGCTCATGTGGAAGCTGGATCTCCAATGTGGCAGTGTTGAGAAGTGGGCCTTTGGGAGGTGATTGGATCATGAGGGTTCTACCCTTGTGAGCCGATTAATCCATTCATGGATTAATGGATTAAGGGATGAATGGGTTATCATAGGAGAGGCGCTAGCAGCTTTATAAGGAGAGGAAGAAGCACTCGCCTCTCTCCACATGAGTCCCTATACTGCCTCGAGACTCTGCAGAGTCCTCAGCAGAAAGAAGGTCCTAACCAGATGTTCCCCCTCAACCTTGGACTTCCCAGGTTTCAAAACTGTAAAAAATAAATTTCTTTTTTAAAAAATAAATTATCCAGTTTCAGATATTCTGTTACAAGCAACAGAAATGAGCTGATACAGTATACGTAAAGAAGTATATGATAGGATGATTATCAAAATGATGGTTGGTGATTAGCTCATTGGGGTGATACAGATGATTTATTTATTTCAGTTTTTTTTTTTGTACTTTGAGCAAAAATGTGTTGTTTGAAAATTTTACGGTAAGCACATGTGATTTATATAACCAGAAGCAACAACTCAGTTTCTCTTCTTGTGTAGAAAACTTGAATGAATTGTTGTTTTTAGAGGTAACTCAGACAAGGTATTAGAAAAATTTTCCTTTGCTGACCCAGTGAGGAGAAGATTTGATGCTTTTCCTGCTTATATGTTAATACTACCGAATGCAATGAGAAAGTCAAAGAGAGGTGGATTCTGACAGACAGGCTCCTGAGTCTTAGCACTTTCTTTATCATACCCCCTCTTACTGGAAGCCCCAGCTGTGAGTCTCAAGTGAAGAGCTTCTTCTGGCTGTAGGAGAGTGCTTAGTATTTTTGTTTGCATTTGAGACAGCTTGGAAGTGCTGAGTAGTTAATACCTCTGAGAGAAGCCTCAACCAATGATGACTGGAGATAGTGGGTAAATACCCCAGCTTTCTTGCCATTGTATAGGACATATCTGAAGTTTATACGTACAAGTCCCAGAGGGCCCAGCAAGCCCAGCCTTACCTGCCCACATCAGTGCCTCTCATTGGCTTCTCTTTCTGTCTCACTTTCCACTCTTCTACCAATGTTTCTTGGGCTCTCACCCTCCCCCAAATTTTTACCCTCACATTCTTGTCTCAGGGTCTGCTTCTGAAAAAAACCAACCTAAGCAGGGTCCCAACACTATTTATTAGTGTCTCTTTCCAGGACTGTGTATTGCCTGCTTTCTTGTCTGCACAGCATGGAACAGAGCTCAGGAACCTGCCAGAAGTGTATCTGATATGAGTACTTAATGTTTGCTGTGGGGAAAAGAAACTGGTGAATGTTGACAAAGAACTGCTTTCTCTTATTTCCCCACCCTGCTAATGAGTTAGGAACTTGTGATGAAATTACCCATAACCCTGACTCATAGCCCTGGTTCACCAATGTGAAGTGGGCCAGTGACCAGATCATAAGTGATGAATTCCCTCATGAAGTTCTGCCTTTGAGCAACAGCTATCTTATCCACCCACTTCTCTCATCTGCAAGTCATCTTTCTGTTTCCTGAGCCAAATTTCAAAGGGTTTAAGTGGCTTTCCTATTTTACTCCTTCAGTCTAGTGCAATCCAATGGGTCATGGGCCATGCAGCTGTTGTTGAGGGCATGTGATAGATCTGATCTGTAATTGCAACACACACCAAATTGGCTGTGTGCACCCTCCAGCTGAGGGCTAGGTGGACGATAGGGCTGGCAGTAAACTAGAATATTGCCGGGGTGAATGTGAACTTCTGTATGTTAGTGCCTCTGTCTGAAGAAAAAAAGCCACAGGGAGGCTGCCTTTGAAAATAACGTTGTGGGCTGCAGCAACCCTCACAGTCTTTCTCTTTACATATCACTGTCCCAGTTTTCTTGGATCAAGTGCCTGGGACACCTGGGTTCAAGTGAAAATGGCGATGGGAACTTGGCAATCATTGTTGACTGAAAGGTTCTTGAAAGAGCCCACTCTCATCACTCGGGGGAAGTTCTCTGATGTTTTTCGTTTTTCATTTTTTTCACAAAGGAACCCACTTATCAAAGTGTTTTTAAATCACTGAAAAACTCACCTCTAACAAAAATCTTAGTTTGTGTTTAGAAATGCATTTCTAAGACTTGACTGGTGATTTGAACTAATATGAGCAGCACAACATAGATGTCATCTACACCTCATTGAGAATGTGGCCTTGATGAGGAAGCAAGAAAGAATTGTAGGACCTGGATTCACTTTCCAACTCTGTCATGTACCACTTAGGTGACATTGGACAAGTCACTTACTTTCATCTCTTAAATTGAATAATAACAGATACCTATCTCACAGTGTTGTTGAAAATTATAAGAAATAAAAAGCACATTTTAAACCCTATAACACTTACTTTTGTTAGCTTCATTGCTTATCTCAGTTGGATTCTGGGTATGTGTTCCCAGAAAGCATCATTGCACGAGATCGTTGACTTCAGCTCTTTTTCCATATAAAACAAGTATGTTGTATGATTACTCTTTTGTATTATGTCTTTACATGTTTTCTCCAATTATTTTTGGAATACATTAGAATATAAAACATGAGTGAATGAATTCAGTGAATGAATGAGTGGGTCAATTTGTGGAGCTATCAACCCAGCATCACTAATAAACACTAACTAAATATGCTAAGCAAACAAGGTCGGAAGAAAGGTCTTAGCTCATGTCCTTGCTTTAAAAACGGCACCATGTTCTGTGAAATAATTGAACAGAAAAATCTGATTCTATTGTCTCTTTTCCCAGTTCTGTCTTATAATCATTAACTCCTTTCAAATGTCTGAGCCAAGATTTTAAAAAGAGGATTAATGAATATAAGAACTTCTGTTATTAACATTCTTCAGAAGTGAGTGGCCCTAACCGAAGTATAATAATCTTTTGGTAAACCTTGCTTCCTGTCGAAAAGAAAGGAAATCAAATCATCAGCATAATAGAAGAGTAAATCAGATGCACATTTCCTTGAAGAGTAATTTTCCCTTCTCTTGCTTGCTTCTGTTTGCTCTTTGAACTATCTGTCCCTGCTGTCTTCACACCTAGGCAATGAATTTTATAGACCTCGGGGTGAGAGAAAGCTTTCCTGTTTTGATTTTCACCTTCTCTGAAGGAGCCGTAGTCAGTGATTTGGGGAGAATGAAAGAAACATATTGTTGGTTGGGGTTTCCATGAGTGGACTTGGTTACAAAGATTTGGTTTGTACTTAACCTTCTCCATCATGTTGAGGGAGTGCCTCGGGACACAATTGGGAGCCAAACTCTTTTTCTTGAAGGTGGAGAAACATACAGTTCTACGACTACCAGAGACGTAATGAAGTGGTTTTTCATAAGGTCACCAATGAGGTTTTCATTTAAAATCTGGGACTTTACTCCAAATGCCCAGATACTTAAATTCATTAGCCATTTTCAAAGAGGCATGTAGTAAACAGGAAGTGCTCTAATGAAATTGGGCATAGAGTGTCCATCTCAGGACCCAGATCACATGAGATCTGAGTAGTTTTCTCTTGACTTTACAAAGGAATGTAGTAGGGCTGAACTGAATAGGGATAAAAGAGTGAAATTATTTAAAGAAATAACCCTGAGGGAAAGTGGTGATAGGAAAAAAAAAAAAAAAAAATCAGTGTGGGATTAGTTGAGTGTGTATCTTTTTTTCTTTTCTAGAACAAATACTTAACTAGTCTGTGAGTGTCACACAAGCATGTTTAATTCCAAACATCTGAATTCAGTATTCATTTACAAGCAATGGTGAGAAATTTATATAGGTTGAATAGAAAAGAAAACAAACAGACAAACAAAAAACTGCTTAAAGATGACCTTTGGCTAATTAAAACAGTACATATCAAATTCTGAAATGAAAACTATTATCTTGGTTTAAACTTGCAGCTCCTGGCTAAGTACAAAAATTTGCAATGGGATAGAATACTGCGACTGCAGGAGGTACAGACCAAACTAGGAGTTAGTCTGGAAGAAATGCTGTTGGTCATAGAGGATGCCCTTCACTCTGAACCCTATAGCCCTGAGGAGATCTGCAGGTATTTGGGAATTAGCCTGGAGGATCTCCGAACCCAAATCCTGAGTCCAAACACTCAAGATGGTGAGTCTGCTGGAAGTAAGGGTATGGGTTATTTCCCCACTCATAGCTGGAAAGTTTCCAGCATTCCTATGAATTCTATTGATTTTATTTTACTTTCTAAAATTTTATTTTTTATTATGTATTTAATTTTAAGAAATTATCTATTTTATTTTTATTTCTACTGATTTTAAAGCATTCTTGAGGGAATTTGGAGAATGTGTGTACTTTAGCAAACTCAATTATCTAGATCCTTAGCTTTTCAATTCATTCATTCATTCATTCATTCATCAACAGACATTTCCTGGTCTACTATATGCCAGGTAGCAGTGCTCATAACTGCTGTGGAACAATATTGTGGAACACCAGAAAGTCTTCATTATTTAGGTTAAAACTTGTGGCCCACTTTAGTGTGGAAGCTTATTTCTATTTGCCTTCTGCTTTCAAGTAATTTTGTTTTTATACCAATAACATCAGAAACTGAGATGAAAGACAGATAAATATTGGAGACACATGATGAAGCCTTGAAATAGTTGTTCCTCTTAGAAGTAAAGGTTATTTATTTGTGGGAAGTCAGTACTGGGGACAAGGACATCTAGTTAAGATTTGATAGCCCCTGAGGATAGAGTTTGGGAGGGTGGGAGCTTGGCACGAAGATCAGTCTCGGGGCCCTGTTTTCATCCCATGCGGTTCAATCCTACAAGTGATTATTAAGTGTCTACTGTGGATTTGCCTTCAAAGTAATGCCTTAAAGGCTGCAACTACTGACAACTCTGGGATAAGGTAAGGGAATCATCTGAAGACAGGGATTAGGTTTGGGTTTTTATCATTGTCAGATCCAGTGTAATTTGATGAATATTGATTGAGACTCTGGAACCAGGATGAGCAGACTATGGCCTACTGGCAAAATCTGGCCTGCCACCTATTTTTGTAAAATAAACTTTTACTATGTTATGGATGCTTTTACACTAATACAGCAGAGTGGAGTAGTTGTGACAGAGACTGAGTAGCCCACAAAACCTAAAATATTTACAGTCTGACCCTTTGCAGAAAAAGTTTGCTGACTTCCCCACTCCAGAAAGGCAGTAGACCAGGCTGAGCCCGTGGCGCACTTGGGAGGGTGCAGCGCTGGGAGCACAGCAGCGCTCCCGCCGCGGGTTCAGATCCTATATAGGGATGACCGGTGCGCTCACAGCGCTCACTGGCTGAGCGCAGTGCGGCCGGTCAAAGGCAGTAGACCAGGCCGAGCCCGTGGCGCACTTGGGAGGGTGCAGCGCTGGGAGCACAGCAGCGCTCCCGCCGCGGGTTCAGATCCTATATAGGGATGACCGGTGCGCTCACAGCGCTCACTGGCTGAGCGCAGTGCGGCCGGTCAAAGGCAGTAGACCAAAGTTTGCCTCAGTTTTGCCAGGAAAATAGGAATAATAGGAATACCTCCCTTAAAGGAGTAATCTGTGTAATGTGCTAAGAATAGTGCTTGGTAACGGTGGTGCTCATAGAGTGATGAGTGTGGTGATGCAGGTGTGCTTGCATCTGGGGAGACCAGGAAAGAAAGAAGTCAAAGCCAGCTTAACTAAAGAGATAGCAACCAGCCAAAAGTTAAATAATACATAGGAGTTTCTTAGGCAGACAAACAGCAAGTACAGAGGCAGAGAGGAGTGAGAGAGGATTATGTCCTGAGAACTACAGATAGTTGAGAGTTTCCTGAAAATAATATACATGGAGGAGAGTGATATATTAGGCTGAGGCTATAGATAGGCCCAGATCACCAAAGGCCTTGTTAAGGACCTGTGTGTGTTTTATAGGTAATGGAGGATTTAATAAAATCCTTATTGAATGAAGAGGTTGTGTAGGGCATTGAATAGGGAGAGCTTCCAGGAGACTAGCTTTTCTCCTTTGAACTTAGACATTGTCTGATTTCTTTAAGTCAGCAAACATGTTTGTATTGACTTCTCTGGACATGGTTGTGCTGGATGCTGGTATACAAAGATAATCAGGACATGTTCTCTACCTTACAGTGACTTAGTGTCTAGTGATCTAGTAGGTGAGAATGCCACAAAACAAGCACAGTACGTAATACCTACTGTAATAAAGGTACTTACCAAGAGCTGTGAGAATATGGCTAAATGCCTGAGAAAGGTGGCTCAGATTTGAGCTGGATATTGTGAGAAAGTTAACGGACTTCACAGACTGAAAGGGGTGACAGGCCATTCCAGGCAGAGGGTAGAGCCTGAGTGAAGACATAAAGACACAGGAAGTGGAGTATTGGAGAATGTGTGCCAAGAGGTATTGTATGCAGTATGAGTTGGACAACAAAAAGATTGCCTAAGGGGTTGTCAATTAGGAGAATATTGATCTACTCTACACTGAATAACAAGAGCCTAAAATAGGGGATTGTTGGTAGATGGCTCAACTGGTAGATTCTGAAGACTGTAAAGAAAAATTCATTTGAAATTGGTGATTGCCTGTGTTTAGGAAGAGAGGGAGCGAGGGAGGGAGGAAAGGAGAAAAGGTAAGTAAAGCCAAGGTAAGAATAGCTGGGAAGGTTAGGGAATTATAGTTTGGGAAGTGATTTTGAAGGCAAGCTGACAAGCACTTTTCTATCAGTCGATCATTGAGTTTGTCTGCTGTGATGGCAAGGTCTCTAAATAAAGATATAGAGCAAGTTAAGATTAGATAATTAGATTTGGGAGTTATTGGTGAAGAGGTGAGAAAGTCTTAATATACATTGAGAATATTCACTGTCCAATGGTCTTCTTAAAGAGTCTTTCTATGGTTAGTTCAGAAATCTTCAGAGGCTCACCATTACCTAATTGCCCAAACTACTTAACATGTTAACTTTCTTCTCAGTCTAGCCTTAACTCTGTTCTGTCCTATCTCCCTTTTGAGCCCATGCATGCCCATGTGGACAGTGTTGCCTTAGCTGGGCCATTTCACTTACTAATTAGAAGCTTAGTCTTGCCTCTTTGCTTTTAATCCTAAACACCACTACCTTTTTCTGGCAGGACTTTCCCCATTTTCTGAAATGCAGTTCCTACTTATCTTTAAAGCTCAATATAATTCTTGCCTTTTCCTTATCCTTCTCAACCCACACCTATTCTCTCTCTCTGGATCCGTGTTCCTTTCTTCCTGTCTTTCCTCCCCTTCTTTTAGCATTTTTTGGAATAAGTCAATTTCCCAGAAAACCTTCAAAAATACAAATGATAATTTGTTAATCATAGGACATGTATTGATATATATATATATATATATATATATATATATATTATACATATATATAAATATATTTATATATTATATATTTATATATATATATTTTTTCCTTTTTGTCTTTTTTCGTGACTGGCAACGGATCACAACCCTCAGTGTCGCCCCCATACCGGACCGGGACCAGCCACGGGATCGCAACCCTCGGTGTTGCTCCCGCCCCTCGCTCAGCCAGTGAGCGGCCGG